AACAATCTCAACTCCAACATTGGGCTGTTAGAAAAGTTAAATGAACTGCTGTAGTTGAGGTGCAGAGCACAGTAACTATTTCAATTGTCAAAGTGTTGCTAAAAAAGAATTAGTTTGGACTTCGTTTATATCATACCATTGTTCCTTGCACTTGCTTATATCCCAGAATTCCAGCTGGAATATACTCTTTGTATCTTAAGTAAGTGAGAACAACCATCTAGCATACAACTGCAAAGGATTCACAACAGAGATTAGCTCTTGATCCTGGAAAGCAGGTTCCCATAGACCAATGGTTCTCAACTTGTGGGTCGAGACCACTTAGGAGCTCTAATGACCCTTTTGCTAGAATCACCTAAGACCATCAGAAAATACAAATACTTAGTTTAAAGTTCGTAGCAGTAGCAAAATTACAGGTAAGTAGTAGCAATGAAAATTATGTTTTGGTTGGGGGTCACCACAATGTGAGGAATGTTTGGTTGGGGGGTCACAGCAGTAGGAAGATTGAGAACCATTGTCACAGAGTATAAGGAATCACTATTCTGTTCCACCATAAAACAAACCATCAGTTCTAGGCACACATCTCAGTGCTCTTTTTCCCATACCACCCCTCTTCACTTTATCCTGATTCCCGTGGCTCAGAAGCCAACAAAACAGTAGTTTACAGCTTCTTTTTAAAACCAGAGGCTTTTGATAACACAAGAGGAAAAGGAAATGATTTGTACAGCTATCTCTAATACCAAAATCTGTGGATGGTCAAATCTCTCATACAAAGTGGCATCATATTTGTATTTAAACTATGCATACTCTTCCATATACTTTAAATTAGGTCTATATCATCATTTAAACTGTTTGTTTGTTTGTATAGTGTGTGTGTGTGTGTGTGTGTGTGTGTGTGTGTAAGTTAGAGGACAACTTTCAGTAATCAGTTCTTCCCTTCCATCATGTGGGTCTCGGGAACTGAACTCAATTCATTTACTCAAGCTATCTTGTCAGCTCTATGCTATAACGTAATAATGATATGGAAAAGTCTGTACATGTTCAGCACAGATGAAATTTAGATTAATGCTTTTGTTCTGAGGTTGGATGAACCTTTGTATGTAGAACATGTTAACATGGAGAGCCAACTGTGTGTCTTGATACTATTCTGACTAAGGCCTTTTAACTGTTTACTCAAGATCAATGATTTGAACTTACTGTTTTGGCTTTGGCATGCAGTATGACTCTGACCTCCTACTTGTCCTTGAGTTTACCCCTACTCAGTACCACGGGCTTCTTCCTGTGGCATGCCTTTTACTATGTCTCTATATTTCCTTTCCGTGCATTCCTTCATATTTTGCTATAATAATAGTTTGAGTTTTAGTTATCAGATTAACAGTTGTTTAATATAGACAAATAAGAGAGAAGGAATAGCATTACTAAACTCATATTTATCAAATCACTACTAAGTGCCTGGATGTTTTATACTTTAAGTCCTGTAGCACTTTTTTAAGTGGGCAAAGTGATTATCTCTCATATTACAGATAAGGCTACTGAAGCATAAATTAAACTGTATTTCCCAAGGGTAACCATCCAGTATATAAAGAAGCTAGAATCTAAACTCATGCTTATCTTACTGCATAGTTCTTGCTTTTATCCATTGTATCACAGTCCTTTGAAATATTTAGTAATATTATTTCCTTTTGGGGATTTTAAATACATGTCTTTGCTTTGTTCTTATCATAATATAGTCATACTCTGTACATAACACCTTTTTTCTATTTGTACTTTCCCAGGAAGCTATAAGAACTGTGAAAGTATCATGTTCATGACTACATATTATTTGGCCATGAAGGTATACTGTATAATTTACGTCTACCATATGGGTGGATATTTAGAGCAATTCCAAGTTTTGCTAGCATTAAAAGGAGAAATGTGACTAAAGCCAATGAGATATTTTGTAATATTTTCTTAAAATATATTCCAAGGAGTGAAGTCCTGTATAAATAAGGAGGGAAAAAGTTAGCTTCGAAGCTAGTGTTTTTTAAAATACAGTGTTTTCTGATCTACTTACACACACCATAAGCCTCATGATACTTGTTAAACAGGCAAATTTCTAGGCATTTCCTCTAGTATATGTAATTGGAATCTTAGAGAGTTACAGCCTAGGAATCAATATTTTTAAAAGACTCCCCAGGTGAATGAATATATTGAGTACAAAAAGTTTGGAAACAATTAATCTGCATTCAAATTGCTACCGCCCTCCCAAGTCTCTACCAATTTCTAATCCCAGCTGTAGTTTCTAAATTCAAGGAAGTGTTCCTCCCCCACTCCACCACGACTAAGTTGCTAAAGGAAATGAAGACCCAGTAACTCTCAGGAAAGCTGAAGGACTGAGCTGTCCAGTTTGGGAAAACAGTTCCTCTCCACTTCCATTCTCTACCAGCAGAAAAAGAATGTCTCCTGATGTCCAGGAGAGCTAAGCAGTGGAGGTGACTATGGAAAATGTGCATGGTCAGCTGCTGGTTCCCTCAGGCCTGTTTCTTCTGTTTGAGCACAGCTATTGACAGACAACTCCTAAATGTAGATTTCCAAGCTTTCATACAAAGTTGACCCTAGGAAAAATAAGACATTTTTGTTGCTCATTGTCACAGGCCCCTTTATTCTGCAGTATATGAGAGAGATACAAACATGGGCTTTGGGGTTAGATCTGGATTTTTAATTCTGAATCTGACAGCTATTAGCTGGGTGACAACTAATTTAAACTCTAACCTCTCCCCTGTTAGCTTTCTTTTTAAGAGTTATTTTACAGTTATGTGTTTTTTCTGTGTTTATGTGTGTATGAGCGTGTCACAGTGCATGTGTGGAGGTCAGGGAGTAGCTTGTAGAAGTCAGTTATCTCCTTTCATCATGTGTGTTTGGGGGATTAAGTTCAGGTTGTCAGTTTTACTTACTTTTTGAAAGTAGTGTTGATAGCGTCTTCCATGATGAAATAAGGTGTAGGAAACGTAGCATCATATCTCAGCTCTAGTAGAACTTGGTTGCCTTGTCCCCTTGTCTCTCACCTTGAGACCCTCACAGACAATAATTACTTGCCTGATTCTTACCTGTGTTATAATGCTTGGTACAGTAACCTAGATCCTTCTCATCCCGCAAGATAAATTGGGGTAGAGTCAACCCCTCAGCCACTTGGACAGCAGGAGCATCTTCTAGCCACTCAAACATGAGGTCATTCATGGTGTAGCCAACTGCAAGTGACATAGACATCAAAGAGTTTCAGAGTGTGTGTTTGGGGTGAGGATAGAGGTGGAGTTAAGGTTAGCAAGAGTATGTAGTTGAGGGACAAGGTTTGGGTTTTAGAAATGACATGCTCAGCTTGGAAAAGGGAATGATTTTGAAGAGGGAATTTCCTCAGTTGTCTCATGGGCCTGTACTAAATGAGCAAGTCAGAAAGATCCCATACCCCTCTAATCTGTGCGTCTCAAGCTTGAGAAATGCTTAGAGAGAAATTACTCTGGCAGACTTGGGATGTAGGCCAAGAATGTTGGAAAGATGTCAAGGACCCCAGCTGGGAACCTCCTGACACATCTTAAGCCCAGAGGAATAAGCATGTGTACCAACCACATGTTCTGAACTGAGCCTCAGAGCCAGGACTTCTGCCACTTTTCCTCAGGGAAGAAAGAACTATTTCTGTCCTTCCAGTCATGCATGGGAGAATGTGCATACCACAGACTCCTAGCCAGGGACTTGAATTGGAAAAATTGAGAGTTAATAGCTGGACATGTCAAGTTGCTCACAGATTGCTTGCAGTTCATGAAGGCTCATGTCCTAGACATGACCATTCTCACATGTAAGAGGAGACCGATGTTTACAGAATGTAGAACAAGTCCTACTATAGCTGTGTGACTTCAGGTGCATCATCTACTCTTTTGTAAAATGAGGCTAGTAGAGGCTGCCCCACCTAAGTTTGTAAAGTTGTTGTGAGGGATATTGGGAACCTGCTGGAGCATATGGTGTACGAATTCTAGAGGGCGGACCAAAGGACACTTTCTTTGCACCTCCGTTCCCATTTGGTGGAAACAATGCTACAAGTTTTCTTCTCTGAGGAATATCTCCTGATCTTACAGTTTTACCTCATGATGACCCAGTTTTACCAGGTGATAGATGAAGAATAAATGGTGACCCATCCTTGCAATTATTTGGTGTCTCTGCACATTTGTCAGCCCATAAATATTGACACCTTTCTCAAAAAGGAGACTGGCTGAGTTTTCCTATACCTGAAGCTGTCCTCTTAATCTCTGCAATCATTATCTGTATTCATGAGAACCAGTTCCATAAATACTTCTATCTTGACCAGAGATGGCACATATATGGGCATCTTGAATGTCTTAATTATGAGAAAGTGAAAAATGAAGCTACTATAGGGACTGCAGGAAGAAATTTGAACACAGGAGGTACCCTTCAGATAGTTCCCCATGGCCAGAAGCACATTTGTGTATATGGCTAGGAGTCATTTTGTTCCCCAGCCCTATAGAACAATCAGCCCAGCAAGTAATGTGAGAACACAAAACTACTCTGGGCTGAGTATCAAGGAGCCTTGGCTTCTAGTCTCATCCTCAACAAGAATTGATTGTGTGTGCTTGGGGAAATGTCTAAAATATCATTGACTAGCTAGTATTCCAAGCCTTGCCTCATGATTCACTAGAAACACTTACAGCTTTCCAGCTGCATCGTGCAGGTCTGAATGTCCATTGGGAAGTTCTTGAGGTCCATTGGGCAGGACAAAATGAGGGTCAATCTGGTGGGAGCAATAAAAACATAATGACATCAGTTTGCTGGGTTCCAGCACTGTATAGCATGGACCATCTTCCCACCCTTCTACCTCCATCTGGCTTCTTCCTCTTGATACAGAATCTCCTTGCTATACACTAGGTGCACCTGATGCTGTAGAGAACATTCCCATTCTTGAAGATGCGCAGTAACTTGTTGTCTGTGGTCACCTCATGGAAGTTGGCCCCTTTCTCATTGGCGAAGAAGAGATCTGGCTTCCAGATAGAATCGAGCATGGACGGATCTAGGTCCAGAGAGTCATCTGGATATTCTCGGTAGGCCAGACGTGGGTCATTCCACTGCTGCCGCAAGAAGACATTTACCCGATAGTCCTGGAAGGGTGGAGAGGAGGGCCTATCAGATACAGTGCTTTTCCCACTGGTCCAATAAAGCCAACATGAGCAGAAGGGCCATGAGCAGGAAATGCTAGAGATGCATTTTGAGGACCAGAAGGCATTTTCCAATGGAGAAAGCCCACTTTGCGCAAACATGGCAAAGATGGGAAGATATAAGACATTTATTCAAGTACCTACTATGACTCACTGCTAAGTGCTTATTTTTTTGGTAGGACTGGAGGTTGAACCCAGGTTCCTGAGCATGCTAGGCAAATACTGTATCACCAAGCCATATCCTCAACTGAGTGGTGAGTGTGTTCCTCATACACGTCATTTTATTTAAACCTTGTATCAATCTAGTGTGGAGAATGGTTTCATGGTCTTCCCTTTACATATGAATAACAAAGACCTGGGAAGATTGAAGTCCACCTGCTTAACATAGATACTAGGTGGAAGAGTTGCAATTTGAACTCAGGTCTTTTCTAATTCAAAAGCCTGTGCTCTGCATCAGGTTACTTCACATATTTGATGAACTGTTCTTAGCTAGTTTGCATTTGGCTAGGCAAACCCTGGACTAAGAAAAACCTCTCAGTCAATGTCCCATGGCTAACTCAAATGTCCCATGGCTAAAGCTGTGTTCACAAAGCAGGAAGAGGGCAGTAGAAAGGAAATCCTTGTGATGTGGTGAGCTTCTCCCATTCACACTGGAATGGAAGTGGGGAATAGGAAGACCCCTTACCATGGTGGTCTCAGTGACGGAGCCAAAACTGTTGATGAAGATGTTACAGGTCACATTCACAGGTGGACCTAAGGGTAGCAAAGCACAGCCCATTGGCAGGGCATTCCAGAAAGCTGAGCACAGGTTCCTCAAGTCCCTCTCTGAGCTTCAGATCAGGCTACTACTGGGAAAAGACTGACAGCTACATAGACCCACAGGCAATGTGGAGTAAAGGCTCCTTTTGAGCTGTAAGATCTAGCTTTAGAGTTCTAGCTTCTTTCCTTAATGGCAGTGAACAAGTACTAGCTAAGGAATGTGCCACCCAAAACAGTAAGCATGGAGGGGACTTAGTACATGGACCTCTCTTACCTTTGAAATTGGGCCTAATCCTAGCATCATATCCAGATGTTCGTCCCATAAGCTTGTCCAAGAAATCAGAGGGAGACATGGGCTGGGATCCTTTGGGCCCAGATTTGATATCCTCTTTTGCCAAAGCTACACTGGATGAGAGAAGAAAAGAAGTTTGAGGATAGTTGCACAGATTGTGCTTTTCTGCTCCCATCCTCCTTTGATGTATTTGCCCAGCAGACAGGGAGATAAGAGAGAATGATTCTCTGGTGTACTAAATGAGAAGAACAAAACAGTTATGATCCAGCATGGCTGCCCAACAATAGTTCTGGGAACTACGTGGCTTTCATGTAGGTTAAATCTTTTTACACTTAATTCTCAGTACATGACATTAAGGCTGTCTCCATTTTCCCGGCAAGAAAACAGGCTTAAGAGGTATAAAAACAGAGGAGGAACGAATAGAGAGAAGGGGTGTGGGGAGAAAGGCCAGGGAAGAATAGAGGGAGGGGAAACAGCAGTCAGGATGTAAAGTAAGTAAGTTAGTTTACTAATTAATTTTTTAAAAGGTAGTTACTTGCCCAAAGTCTCAGAACTTCTGAGTGACACAGTCAGGACTCAGTCACTGGACTAAGGACCTACTTAGTATTCTCTTCCTGAAGGCACTTTGAAAGCATCCAAAGAAAAATGACATCTCACTCAGTGTGTTATTAATATGGCCTAGCCAAGGATAGGAGGAGCTTTAGAACAAGCAGCTTCTCTGGGACCTGATATCAGCTACTTGGGCCTGTAAGAGTTCCAGGTCTTAGGACCTAGCTTCTTTGGGAGTAGGCTTGCTTTGTGCTTCCCTCCCTCCCTCCTCCCTTCCCTCCCTCCCTCCTCCCTTCCCTCCCCCCCTCCTCCCTTCTCTCCTCTCTCTCTTTTTTTTTTTTTAGCATGGCAGGAAGCTATGTGTAAGTGTAGTGTGTTATGGCCATTATAGGCAGGCGAATTCAACTCTGGTAATCAAGTAGAAATCTATAGGCATGGGAGAGGTTCCCAATAGAGTGACCATACTGAAGCAAACTCCCGTCTTTCTCTACCTAAGACCTTGATTTGGGGAAAGATGTGAGTATGTTTTGGCCTAGGATAGAATCTAGCCTCTTTTCTTTTGTCAGTCTTCCTCCTAAGAGAACCTAGGAGATGAATCAGTGGATAAAATGCTTGCAGAAACATGAGGAACAGTGTTCAGATCCTCAGCATTCAGGTAAAACTCTGATGGAAAAGCCAACAACACACATGTAATCCTACTACTGGGGAGCCTAACTTTCTTGTGGCAAGCTGGAAAGTTAGACTCGATGAAACAAGCTAGCTCGATACAGGTTTAGCAAATGACCCTATCTCAACATATAAAATAAAGAATTATCAAAGAAGACAGCCCTTTACACATATATATGCACACATGCATGTCAGTGTATACCCACATGCATTTGTGCCTACACATATACAAACATGTATGCATACATACTCAGAAATATCCCCAGTAAATCTGTATTCTTGTCAGTGACTGGTAGAATCATTAAAGGAGCTAAGGTACCGCATTAAATGCTTCACAAGCTTTATCTAGGTTAGTTCTCATGTCAGTCCTCCCTGATTATCTCTATTAAAATTGCTTCTCTGTATCCATGAGATACTGGTTCTAGGACCCCTCTATGGATACCCAAGTTTTGAGATGCTCAAATCTTTCATTCATTCATATTTATTTGGTATAGTCTTTGCATATAACCTGTACATGTCTTCTAGTATACTAGTAAATCATCTCTGAGTTCTAATACCTAACACATTTTAAGTGTTATACAAGTAGTTGTTTAGGGAATAAAGACAAGGAAAACTCAAATATGGTCAGCACAAGTGCTAATAAATATTTTGAGTCTGTGATGTGTGAATTTGGAGATGTGGATAACTGCTGGGTATGAAGAACTAAGTGTACATAGATTACAAGTCTGGGGAGCAGTAAGGTGAAGGTGAAATAACTTCTCTAAGGTCCTATAGCTAGTGGTAAAGCCAAAATACAAAGCCAGAGCCAATAACGTCAAGACTCAATGTATCTATCCTAGTACTGTCACAAGACAAGCAGTCCAGGATGATCTGTTAAAGAACCAGAGTGAGGAAAGGCCAAGACCTGTCACACTGTGACTTCTTAGAGTTAGATCTTGGATTCTGAAAGCAGGAGGAATCCCTTGCCTTGGAGACAGAGGCTACCCTGCCTAAGTATGCTATGGAAATCCAGGGAGGTCGGTGGTGATGCTGGGGCAGGCAGAAGTCTGTGGCTTCATCACAGGATGTCCACACGAGCCAGGTGCTTCTGTTACTGCTGCTGTTGCTGCTGCTGTTGGCCATCTGCCACCTGCCTGCTGGGAGGCCACATGGCCCTGGATACAGAGCAAGCAGACCTTTCTACTGTCCTCAGCCTCACTCAGGTCACCTCTCCACTGGTTCCTGTCCTAGAACTCTAGGATAGGCTGGGAATCTTCTGTCTTCAGTCCCGAAGCCTCTTTTGGTTAGCTGGATTCTGAGATTATCTTGTCAAAGGAACCAAGACTAAGAGTGACTTTTCGAAACCACTCTATCCACCCTTTAGTTCCTGGAAAGTTCCTAACACTGACAGGACCTAGAAGGATCAAGAACTAACAATCCCCATACAAGGCCCTGGGGTGGTATGAGGAGAGAATTTTAAGCTATAAGCTACTTGGTCAACCTTTAGCAGGCCACTACCCTTCTCTATGATCCAGTTTCCATACATACAACAAATAGCTTGAACTTAGGATTCTCTAAGAGCCTATCTTGCTCTAATTACATCCACTTGTTCTTGGAACTTCAGGCAGTCTCCCCTCAACAAGGGTCAGCAAAGCCCAACCCAGTGACTCCTTTGTTTGTATCCTGTCAGCTCCCTCTATGCTGCCAGTCCACTTTTAGCTGCTTTTTCTTTCTAAGCATACTATACCACTCTGCAACCCTTGCTGCCTGCCATCATGTGTCCACAAGCAGTGGGGCTGAAAGTTTCTCAGAAGCAAGATGCTCTGAGACACTCCTTGTGTGAAGAGGGAGAAGTCACGGTTCTGACATTCACTCTTTTCACTTTGTGGGCATTCCTTTGAAGACCACTGTAGCTGAGCCATAGCTATCTTGTCTATTCAGCATATCCTGGCAACCTAGACTAGCTCTTGTTCAAATTCAAAAAAGGCAAATGGTCAGGGGACAGTCAAAAGGAGCCCCAAGGATTCTTTACCTGCAAAGCCAGGCAATAACTGCTACCTGGTGCCTCTCAAAAGGACAGTGAGCAGCCATGTGTAAAAGGGCAGGGTGACTGCAGAAAGCTAAGATTTGGGCATCTCAGCTCCAACATGCTATGGTCCAGTGGCAATCCTGTGCCACCTGCAGCCTATTTGGCAGGCATCTGACAGATGTTTCTGTCATTTTTAGAGATCAAGCTGATATGTTACAGGATGAATGACCTCCATTTTAGGGCTCAGCTACCTAGCCCCTTCCTAGGCCCATGCAATTCATCCATACAGGTGCCCCTATACCCACACTGGGGCTGCATATCTGTACTGGACAGCTCCTGAGTCCTGACTGAGAAGGGTGTGTTCTCCCCTGATGCCTTCCACACTAGGTTTGTTCTTTCAAACTTAGAAGAAACTGTGGCAGCTGCCCAATCTGTTACCACCAGCCCCCAGTTAGTGTTTGCATGCACCTCCTTCTCACCCCAATGAGCTCACCTGAGGAAGACCTTCCCTGGCAAGGTCCAGAGAAGAAGGAAGAAGCTTGCTGGAACAAGAGTTGTCATTCTGCAGGGACCTTGGAGTCCTTTCTCAGCTTGGCTGCCAAGGTGAGAGCAGGTATCCCTGTGGGAAAGCTAACAGTATACAGCCCTTCTCCAACTTGGACTGGAATAAGGAACCTATGTGGCTGGGTTAGGAGTTGAGCGCTCTTTCCTCTCCTGCTTTTTTTCTGCCCTGTCCTTAGCAGTCAGGGTCTAGAACTATTCTCCTGAATAGATCTGAACCCGACACAGATAACCCTACCAGCTCCGGCTTGAGCTTATCTTAGACTGAGAAGGGCCTCAGCCTGCTGGTCAGGGAGCCAGAAAAGATTCTCTTTGGGTAGCAAACACTCTCCAAGCCCTGGAGAGTCTTGAAGGGGAGGGAGGAAGGAGACCGGTAGAAAGATGTTTCTCTCCCTCCCACATCCCCCTAGATGCACCCT